GCGCCCCCGGCCCCGCCCCGAGGCTCCGCCCCGCCCCGCCCCCGCCCCGCTGACGCCGGCGCTTCCAGGTTTGCAAACTCTGCGTTTGTCGGCTCCGTGCCGGCGAGCGTCCATTGCACAGGTGGAGAGCGGTGAAATTTCTGTACTAAAGCTCTCTGAAATCCAGGCGTGAAATGAGGCCGTAGATGCCAGCCCTCGCTGCAAATTTCCTTCACCTCCAAGGAAGAGCCCTTTCCCCCAAATGTGGTAGAGAGTTTCTTTTGGAGGGGTACCCAGGCCTTAATTTTAGCCTTCATTACATTTGAAAAGAAATCCTCTAAAAATCATTTTCATGACCATTCTCTCATTTTATCCTCCAACCTGTGAAATGGGACTGTTATCCCCATTTGACAGATGAGGAAACTGAGGCTCAAAGAGGTGAAGTGGCTTCCTAGGGCACACAGCTGGCAGCGACAGAGCAGCAGACCCCAGCGCCAAGACTCTTTCTTTCATACCAAGCAGGTGGGTGAGGCCAAGGAGGGAGGAGACAGCGTGCAGGACAAGAGTCCTCCAGTCCAGTGAGGGCAGTGGATGCAGGGCTGCTCCTGGTCCAGCCTAGGATCAGGATCCCATGTCTATAGTGCTTCAGTGATTTCTCACTTGGCTGCTTTGCTCCATGCGAAGTCCTGAGCAGTAGACAGTCATTTTCACTTTGTCTTTGGAGAACGTGTGTGTGAACCAGTGAGACATTTCAGTCACCTGCTGAGAGATATGGAGGCAGGAGCCCCCTTCACTGCTCTGGGGCTGGGGGCTTTCTCCAAGTGGAGGAGGCGCCAGACACCTGGGGGTTGGCTGGCAGCTAGGGCTGGTTCTCCGAAGGGGCTACGGGGTAGTAGGGCCTCCATCACTGGACAGAAAGATGTGGGAGGAAATAGGTCGCTAATGCATCGGCTGGGCTGCTTCCGGCCAGGGTGGGCTCATCTTCTCCTCTAGGAGCTGGACAGGTGGCCAAGGTAGTGTCTAGCTTGGGGGCTAGATGAGTCGGGTAGCTTTGGGCACACTCAGCTTCCCAGGGAATGTTCCAGGCTGTGGGGGATCAGGGAAGGAGCACAAGAGTGAGGGTCAGAAGCCCCGAGCTCTGGTTCTGGCCCCGCCTCTGACTGGCTGAGTGACCTTGAGGAAGTCTTTTTCCTGAGGGCACTTCAGGGATGAGATAAGAAAACCATCTCCCCTGACAGGTTATCAGAAAAGAGACAGATGAGGTAGAGAGGAGACAGAGATAGAAGTGGCCTTACAAGAGTGAGAGTAGACCTACTCCAGGAGCAGGGAGGAGACGGAATGGCCCGGCAGTGTGGGCAGGCCCTGGAGATTGGCTGGGTGCCCACACCATGGCCTGCCGTTGTCGTGGGCAGGCCATGTTGGCCCCTTTTGATAAGTGCCTAGGAATGGAGTGGCCACATGCTTCTGCCTTTAGGGTCCCCTGCTTTGTATCTGGGGTGGAGCAGAGTTGATGACAACCTTGCAAGCTTAGTCAGAGAAAATCAGGGGAAATGTTTGTAAACGGCAAATGCTGCACACCCCCTGGGCATCTTCGTTGTTCTGAACCACACTTGAAGGAGAAAAAGAAGTCGGGAGAAAGAGGAGGAGGGGAGAAGGAGAAGGGGAAGGAAGGAAAACTCAGCCTCCAAAGGCTCTCCTCTGGGCTGATAGTTTACAACTCCGAGCCCTCTGAGAACAGCATCCTGTCACTGCTCGGCCTGGAGATGCCCTGAAAGGTTCTGAGTGCTGGCCGGCGTCTCGCTGTTAGTGAAGGACTCACTCCTGGCTCCAGGGAGCTGGGAGGTGATGCCACAGGGAGGCTGCCTGGCAGGTGGACGGAACTGGAACCAGATAGACCTGGGCTTGGGTGCTGTTTAAGTATCCCTGGGAAGTCAAGCCTCAGTTTCCTCATCTGGTACCAACCTAACAGCCTTCTATGAGGCACAGAAAGTAGTACTAGTTGCTGTCAAGGAAGGCAAGCTTTGAAGGAGTCCAAGGCACAACCCAGTGAGGTAGGCACTCATCTTGCACATGAGGAACCTGGGGTGTGGAGAGGTTAGTGTCTTGCTCAGAGGCACACAGCTAGTAAGTGGCAGAGCCGAGATTCAAATCAATGCCATTTTGCCTCCAGAGCCCAGTGAGAGACTCCATCAAAGGTGAGTGGGAGTGAGGGTAATACAGCTCTTCGTCTTACCCAGAGCCTGCTGACCTGTAGGTGATTAAGCAATGGGAAAAGCCTGAATATTTGCACAGCTGCAGCATAGAAGCAAGTCAGCCCTGTAGATGCTGTGGGCGCCAGTCACAGGGTTTGTGGGCTGATGCTGCCATCTTGTGGTCTTGCCATGTCACTGCAGTGCTCTCAGGCTGGGCGGGTACCATGGGTCTGCTTTCCAGGCTTTACGGGGCACCCAAGCAGAGCACGTGGATCCTGGGAGGTCAGGAATCATCCATAGCTGACTCATAAGTCTCTGCTTCCACATCATGAATTCAAGTCCCCCACTCTGACTCTAACCACCTCTCCTAGCTATGGTCGACTGCTCCCTCTGGGAAAGTTCTGGACCTCCTGGAGATTGGTCCTTGACCCTCTGTCTCCCTTCATGCATCAAGTGTCTTTCCTTCCACTCTGAGCCGGCTTAGCTCCCACGTCCATCATTTCAGTAACATCTTAGTAATACCTTAAACTCCCACATCCCTTGTCTCCTGGTGGCTCCTCTGGCCGACCCTGGGTGAAGCTACCTCCCCCTGAGCAAATGAGCCTCACTGGAGAAAGTCCCCAGCAGGCCAGTGGTTCCACTCTGCTCCCACGGTTACCAACCTGAGGTGGGCCTCCAGGGTTCTGGCAGTCCCACAACATCTTAGCTCCTGCTCTCCACAGGACTCTTGCCACCTTCCCCCTCCACACACCTCTGAACCCCTGAATACTCTCCCCATCCTGAGGTGGCCTTGCCTCCTGCCTCCTACTTGACAGAGAAAACAGAAGCCACCAGAGAGGAGCATCCTCATTTCTCAGCACAAATCCGTCCCCATCAGCTCCTTGTTTCTCTCTGTCTCCTGTTACAACAGGGAATTTGCCCTCCTCCATCGTAGGTCTGGTCCCCTTCTGGCTGCAGATCGCACGCATACCCTGCCCTTCCGCCTGCTCGGGAGCCTCCAGAATCCAGCAGCCCTCCACCCTCACGCTCTCTAACGCGTTCTTTCCACTATTTCTTCTGTTTCTTGTTTGACATTTTCCTATGAAGTAGAACCTACATATAGACTGGTGTACAAATCATAAGTGCAGAGGTTCTGAATGACCACACGGTGGACACACCCACGCCACCAGCACCTGATCAAAAGATGGAACATTGCTAGCACCCTGGATGCTCCTCTGTTCCAGTTACTGTGGCTGCAAAACATGACCCCAAAACGAAGTGGTGTACAACAACCATTTACAATGTTACAGATTTTGTGGGGTCAGAAATTTGGACAGAGCACAGTGGGGATGGCTTGTCACTGCTCTGTGGTGTCTGCATCCTCAGCTGGAAGACTGCACGGCTGGGGGCTGGAATCATTCAAAAGTTTCTTCATGTACATGTGTCTGGCGGTTGATGCTGGCTGCTGGCTGGGATCAGCGGAGGGTCTGGGGTCTCTGTGTGGTGAGGATTTGTTCTTGGTGTGAAAGTGGACTCAGTGTCTGTGAGAACAAGGGTCTCTGTCCAGCATGAGGCTTGGGATCCAGTCCCTAGTGTCAAAGGTCAGGAATCTATTTCTCCTCGGGTGGGGGGTGGGGAGAGAACTGGGCCTGAGTCCACTATATGTCTGGACTCAGGGGTCAACCAGATGACCAGAATCAGGGCTGAATTTGTTCAGGATGTTTGTACATGGAATTTCTATTATCCGTTATTTTTCTTGGTCTCATCTGTTGGCATGTCCAGTAATTTTCGAGTGAATGTTAGCCATTATAAACGAACACTCCCAGAGGCTCTGATCTTCTCTAGAGACCCTGAATTGATTTTAGTTTCTGGTAGGCAGTTGGAGTAGGGGATAGAGAGCTGGTTTCCATCCTTTTAATGCCTGGTCTGCTTCCTGTTGGCTCCTCCTCCTCGGCTGTAGCCTTGCAGGGATCCCATTTGAAAGCCCGACTTGGGGTCCTCCTCCTTGTAGGCCCTTCACTCCACTTTTTTCTCCCTGTTAGGTGGGTCTTCTTGGCTTCTCAGCCTCCCAGGTGCTGCTCCCAGGTCGGGGCTCCCTGACCAGAAATGGATAAGCAACTGGTGGGACAGAAGGACAGAGTATCAGACACTTCTGAGCCTCCCTTCTCTCTGAGATAGGGTTTCTCAGGACTATCTTGGAAACCTGAGGCGGTCTCCCCAGGCCCCCCCACCCCGCCCTCCGGTTGTCCTAGCTCCTAACCATGCCTTATTTGTGATGTACTGTGTCTTTCCAGACCATGTTTGTTTGTTGTCTGTCTTCCCCCACCTCCATTAGAGCTGCAAGGTCTTGCTTCTCGTAAGCAGGACTGTGTCAAGCTGAGGCTGAACCTGGCACATCCTCCCCACTCTGGAGAGCAGGGCTGGACCTGCACACTGCCCCACATGGAGCATGTGATTGCTGAGTGCGTAGTGAATGAGTGAACAACCAGGAGCTGATTCACGTGGAAGATCCGAGATGGTGAGGAGGTGGAATGGACAAGTGAATGTGAGGCAGGGCGGAGCGAGGCGGAAGGGGCAAGGCTGAGGACTAGGGCCCCAGTCTGCACACCTGGATGGATGATGGGGCCTCTCCAGGGACAGGAAACACCAGCAGAGGCCCAGGTTTGGGGCAGATCCTGAGTTCCAATTTGGAATGTTGAGTCTGAGGTGGCTTTGAGGCACCAGGGTTAACTCAGGTAGGCATCCAGAACTCAAGGGGGAGCCTGGAGCTGCAGGCCTATGAT